TTCGTCGTTTGTAATCCGTGTCAATCTTCTCCATTCTTAACCATCCATGTTCCTTTATGGTTTATTATTATCTCTTTGGTGTTTTTCTATCTTGGAAAACTTTTATTTTCAGGTTTTCTTCAAGTTAGAGGTAATTTAGTACCCGGTTAAAATAACTCAAATTACCGTGAGCTTTGTTTGAAGGGAACTAACTGCCTCTTTTATTTCGTCGTTTCAGTGGAATATTTCTGATTTTCTCTCGCAACACCGAGAGAAGATTCGCACCGAGTTGGAACAAGTCGAAGGTTCCGCGAATGACAACACGAAGTACGACAAACCGGTGCCTCCGTCAGACCGACAATGGATGTGCTTGTATTCCAAACTCGGTGAACTATGCGTCGATCCTCGTCCAGCGGTTAGAAAAAGCGCAGGACAGACGCTGTTCTCCACCATAAGTGCGCATGGCTCGTTACTGGAGAATGTCACGTGGTACACGGTCCTTTGGAGGGTAAATATAACCTTGTTTACGAGTTGACAGTGTAGTCATTGTAAGAGGTGTTAAATGCCTCCTGACCGTACTGTAAAGCAATCATGGAGTCAGAAGTTGCAAGCCACGTCCTGTGTTTACGTGTTAGCTTCGTCTCTTGACTCTACTTTAGCTGAGTCGCCTTACACAAACACGTTTTCGCTCTTAATCGCATACTTTTTTATGCTTTTTCGCCTATCCTCCATACCAGGGGCCATGCTAGAACGATGTAAATTTCAATGATTTCATCGAAAACGGAGACTTGGAAAACGCTCTCCAATGTGAAGACTCTAAAAACACGGTTCGATCGTTTCAAACTCTGCCACGCTCGTGATGTAGCTGGTTAACTTACCATCATAATGAATTTACTGAATTATTTTTTTTATTTCTCATATTTCACATTAGGTGCTGTTTCCTTTATTGGAGCAAGTCAAAACCATGTCCACATCTGCAGCCGATGTCCCACCCCCAAGTGATGCTGTTAACTCAAAGGGCAAAATACTCATTCACCATTCACGTGATACGGCGGAAAAACAGTGGGCGGAAACACGTGTTCTGACGTTGGGTGGCGTGGCGCGCGTGTTTAACAACCGGCGCCAAATTTTGGCGGGTCTCGATGAGTTCCCGCGCGCGTGGGCGCTTCTTTTGGAGTTCGTCGAGTCTGCGGCGTTGAGCAAGTCCGCTGAAGTTGCACTGGCGGCACTTAAAAGCTTTCAGGACATCGTTCAAGATTCGAGTGAAGCTCAAGAGAGCGCTGGCGCGAATTCAAGCCCGGGGGAAAACACAAGGGACAAAAAAGCGGCCAAAGGAGCTGCTAGACTTAAAGTAAAACCTAAATTTTGTCAAGCAGCGGACGAGGATTTGAATCTTTGGACAAACGCTTGGCGCGTGTGGTACAACATCGGAACAACAAGCATGTCAGAAGCACATGTTGTCAGAACAAGACGAGATTCCTCCGGAAAACTGAGCTCTATTAGAACTTATCCTGCGCAGGCCTTTCTGGCAGCCCTGGTGCAGATATTTCCCTCTCTGTTCATGAGAATATACGGCCGTTTTGGCTTAGCCGATTTGCAGAAACTTGTGCGAATTCTGCAGACTTCTGTGACAATTCCCGTGCCAATAGATCAGTCACCGTTTCTAGTACCATCGTTCCAAGATACTGTATTAACACCCTTGCAACACGCAATTTTGGACGCTATCGAGGTTTTACGCGAACCTCTGCCAAACCTCTCTGGGTCTGTTCTTCATGTCTCCAAGCAACCAATGTATCCTACACTATTTTCACTGCTTCTTCAGTTCTTTGACTGCGCTACAGAGCCTCCACAGATTGATGACTTACCTGACACAGATGGCACTGCCAGACGTAAAAAGAAAGAATGGATTATTCTGTCGCTCACGCCTTTCTCGGAGAAATGTCTTGAGATGGCTGTAGTGTTGTATAGTACCAACGGATTTCCTTTACGTGAAGAGTTTGCCAAGTCCTGCTTTGAAACTCTGTTACAGTTTTCATTTGTCAATGGAACGGCAGAAGTTGATCAACGTGTAGAGCAGCCAGGTGGGTTGTCGTTGTTCGGAGTTGAATCAAGCACACATACATCAGTTGTGATAACGATACAGTGAAACCCTCGAAATTTCAATCAAAGTTTGCTCGCAAAAATTTCTTCTTGCCTAGGTTGCCTCAGTCGTCCACAAGACGACAACACTGTTTCTCAGTTTAGTTTCCTTTTTTTCAGACGGCAAAGTGTCTGAGTTAGCGTTAGACGCTCTTCTCAGGCGATGTAGCGACGTGCTGGTGAAGTACGTTGAGGACGAGAAACTTAGTGGAAAATGTCCTTTACCCAGGTAAGCTGGTTTCGTTTTATCGCGTATTTTACACAAATGAGTACGTTTTCTGTGATCCTGGCCTGCACTGTCTGACTGACTGACTATCGATCTGACTGACTGGCTGTCTGTCCGGATGTATGTTTAACAATTTCGGTCTTTTTGTTGGTCTATTTGTCTGTTGGTCTGTCTGTCTGACTGACTGTCGTTCGGCAAATCGGTCGTTCGTTTATATGTTGGTCAGTCGCTATCTGTTGGTCTGTGTGACGGACTACCGGTCCGTTTGTATGTCTGTCCGTCTGTCTGTCTGACTGAATGTCCGACTGAATGAATGTCTGACTGACTGACTGACCGATTACTGTCTGTCTGTCTGTATGTTTACATTTACTTATGTTTTTTTCATTTGATACTCCACAGAACCCGCATGGCTGAGATGTCCTTCGTTATGAAAGCTATCAGCACATTACTGTCGTCCTTGAAAAGAGCTGTCAAGGAAAATCCTACAGTTGGTAAGTGCCCCCATCATTGTTCACTTCTTTTAAGTGCCCTCCCCTCCCCATTGTTCACTTCCTTAAGGCGAAGAACGACTACGAATTTGGCAGCTATTATAGCTATTTTTTTGTTGTGTTGTAATCGTTTTATAATAACCCTAACCTGTTTCTTTTCCTTGTTGCAGTGGACGGGCGGATCTGGGAACAAGTCGTTGAGCTGTACCCTCGTCTTGTGGAATGTTCTGTTTGTAACTCCACCCCTGTCCGACGAGCCTTGCGGGAGGCATTACAAGAATACGCTGACCTGATAAAACCGCCGATTCATACGTCCGCCATGAATGGTAAACGCTAGGTCAAAGACCGCCCAAATAAATTTGAAGAGTGAAAAGCGAATGATATATATTAAGGGACTCTGGTTCATGTGAACGAACGAGCAAGATGATACACGGATCTATTGAAATTGTAAAAGAAAGACAGGAAATTCGTAGGGTAATTCCCTGCGCACATGCCTGTAAGGAATCTTCTCCGTGGGAACCTTCCATCCATGTGAGTTGACCAAGATATTTAATTTGCTTTAAATCTGAAGCCATTTGTAAGGAGCTGTCGCGTCATGTTAAGTGATGCTTTGTTTTGTATGAAATTACTTTGAAATCGAAGGAGAACTTTTGCTAGGTGAAAGTGTTTTCCTTTGAATATTTCAAGGATATATTCTCCAATTAGAGAAACCTTGTTCTTCATTTCTTACACTGGACTTAAACAAAACTCGCCGACTTTATTCAACAATTTCAACTCAAAGGTTCATTGCATAGAAATTGTACAAAACTAATGTCATTAAGTTAAAGTTCTTAAAACAGACGTTATTTCTTATGAGCATAAAGAACGTAAGAGAGAATTGTCTATTTGTCGAGTATAACTAACGTTTTTAAACCGGATTTTTTTTAATTGAAAACTTTCATCGATGGGT